AAAACGGGGAAGAAAACACCAACCTCAGCGAGGCAATGCGAGGTTTGAACGAGAGAACTAATAGGATGCCTGTGGCACTGGCTAGGTCCATAGCAGGTGCTCAGAAATGCTCTTTCCTTCCTGTCCACCGAGCAAGGCATCTGTTTACGAGCCAAGGTGGACATCCTGAGGGAGAGCCTGGAAGGCCACCACACAGACCAGGGGTGCCTGTGGGCTGAGAGGACAGGAGAGGGGGCACTCAGCTGACCCCAGACCCCCCAGCTGGTGGCCTAGATGCCTGATGCCTTGGTAAGGAGCTGTGTCTGCAGGTTCCTAGGCCCTGACACTTCAGTCCAAAAAAGGGCAAGGAAGGCCAGGGCGGACATGGCACCTGAGAGAAACTCATTAGAAAACAGAAAATGAGGTCACTGTCTCATTTGCATGTTCAGATGGGAGCATGGGGCCTCCCTACGCATTCTCCAGCACGCTTGCAGATATGAAAATAAGAGTTGCTATGGAATACAAATATCTAGGACACATACTGTACTCTTTCAGTATACATGCTTTGAGGGCTTCTTGCGTGGCAAGTTCTGGCCATCCATGGAGGATTCCAAGATGAGGTGATCGTGCGCCTACCCTCAGGGAGCTCATCGTAGGGAACTCCGTGCCAGGGAACGTGAGCAAGATACAGTAAGCACTGCTCCACACCGTGTCTCCCGTGCTGTGAGCTCACCACGGACGTGGGCTTCAGTTAGGGGACGTGGCTTTTGAGCTGGGCCGTGAAGGATGAGGGGAGTGTGGACTGGGAGCAAATGGGGACGAGCCTTTCAGGCAGAGGGCACAACCCGAGGACAGACAGAGAAGAGAAAGGCTGGTGGGATGTCTGGGAACGCAGGAGTCCACAGACCTTACTTTATTGCACAGCGTCGGGGCAGGGAGAAAGGACCCACTGGAACAGGATGTAGTTTAGGGTCCCATTGAAAGGGCTTTCCATGCCACACCAAGAAGCATACACATATCTTATAAGCAGGTGCCAACTGAGGTTTCTGAAGTAGGTAGGGGTATTACGAAGGTTAAGTCCGTTGGCAGGTGGAAAGGCTGGTAGGGAAAGGCGGGTGGCAGGAAAGCCCACGTTCAAGGAAGATGAAAAGGACTGGGAAGGGGAAAATGTCAAAAGACATTTCCGAGTAGAAATGATGAATAGAAATGTCAGATTGCACGTGAGAAGGCTGAAAGAGGAGCAGAGAAATGGCTATTTGCGCAATTAGGCAGATGGCGACGCCTGTGGGTTCCAGAAAAATGCCACCCATGCAGGGCTTCCACATTCACAGAATACATCAGTCGCCTGTTCTTTCCACCCGGCCACATTCTTAAAGATGTCAACTCAGGAAAAACCAGTAGGGGGTGCTATAGGCATTCTTTCCCTTCCCTGCCCACCGTGGGCGTCACAACTACCAGTCTGTTCACATCTGTGGCTCTCCAGCGTCTGTCTCCACAAAAGGCAAACCTGGCCAGCTTGATACAGCCTCTTTACGGAGAAGGTTTTTTATATAAACAGACTTTAGCATCCCCAGCCAGTCTCTCTTACCTGCCCAATGACTTGGCACCTGATGGGCCTGGGCCGGCTTTCTCTACCAAAGTTGCTGAGTGAGGGCTTTTGTGGGCCATCCTGACCGAGGAGGAATCAGGAACAGAAGGTTCAGCAAACGGTTGTGTTCACATTTTAAATTCACAAAGCTCCCCAAAGCATATACAGGCTTTACAGCCATACCTTGCTTTATTGAGCCTCACAGATACTGTGTTTTGTTTTGTTTCTACAAATTGAAGGTTTGTGGCAACCCCGCATCAAGCAACACTATCAGTGCCATTTTTTCCAACAGTTCAGATGAAGGTTAGCATTTTTGAGCAATAATGCATTTTTCATTTAATGTCTATACGTTGTATTTAGACATAATGCTATTGCACACTTAATAGAGACTACAGTGTGGTGTAAAAATAACTTATATGCACCGGGAAACCAAAAAGTTCATGCGATTTGGGTTGTGTTATTCGCTTATTGTGGTCGTTTGGAACCAAACCCATACTACCTCCCTGAGGTACGCCTGCCTGTACAGGTGACTTTGGTGTGACCTCTGGACCCCTTGGAGCATGAACCACCCAGAAAGTACTCCTTAGGGAGCCAAATCAACCCCTGAAGTTATGATTACTTCCATCAAGTATTTAGTGGCTCATCTCCTGCTTGCTCCCTCTTGACACCAGGCCTGAAACTCTCTTCCCTGTCCCCTGCCACCCAAGGAGCCTTCCTCACATGGGTGAGCACCCCTCTTCAGACCCTCAGGGCATCTCTTGGCATTGGATTCAAGCTGGACCTCCTGTGTCTGGCACCATGACCAGTGCATAGTAGGCTTTCAGGAACTCCTTCTTAAGTGATTTTTTATGAATGGATGAGTGAATGAATGAATGAACAAAAGAACGAACACAACAGGAGAGTCAGGCTGCATCGGTCTCGGTCACACTCTAATAAGGACTGAGCCATGTCCTGGAGGTTCATTAGGTGGCCAGCATCATGGAGGTGTCCAAGGCTGAGTGGGATCAGAAACAGGCATTCACACTTAAAGGTATCAGGAGCCAGAAGTCCCAGACATGAGACAGGATTGTGGAGGGTGGAGTGGGGGAGAAACCTAGGGCAGGGTCCACTTGGGGCCATTACAGTAGCAGAGGGGAGAGATGCCGAGAGCTGGTTAGGAATCACAGCAGGAAGCGTAGACACCAGATTCTATTCAAACACAAATCCACAGGGTTCAGTGACCAAATGGACGGAGATGACCAAGAAGAAGTAACTACAGAAGTTTATGGAGAGGACTGGGGAGATGGTACCCTCCGCCTCTAATTTTATTCTGATGCCTATTACTCCGTTGAATGAGGCAGGAGAGTGAAGCTGAGGGACACCAAGTGAGAGGAGGAGTGGAGAGCCCCCGAGGGTGCGAGTGGCCCGTGAGCTCACTGCAGCTCTCCCGAGCCTCCTCTCGGTCTGCTCTCCCCTGCCTGACCTTTACCCCCTGGTTTATAATTTCCTCATTAGTAAGAATCTCATCTTATTCAACTTGGTATCCACTGCATTCGTTATTCATTTGCCTACCCATTCCACAAATATTTATGGAGCACCTCTTACAGGCAAGGCAGAGTCCAAGGTCTGAGAACCCCATAAATACTAGTACACATTTAATTGATCATGTCATGATACAGAGTCAGCATAGGGAAGTTTGGGGCGGGGGAGGGCTGGCAGGGACTTCCACTGGAGAGCATCTGGGAGGAAATGCGGCCGATTCCTCACCCAGGCCTGGGGGGGTTAAAAGGGTAAAAGGTCAGGTGGAGAAAAGCTGCTGACGGTCTACAAAAACAGGCACAGGGCCTCGCCTGAGAACAAGGGGGTGGCAATGACTGGGCACCTCCTCCACGAGGGAGGGGAGAGCACTGAAATGAAGTGATACACTGAACATCGGAAGGTATGTTTGACATGCTCAGACCAAGAGGCTCTGGAGGGAACGACGGTAATGGGGTGCTCCCTCCTGGGCGCCATGGGCTCGTCCCCGGGACCCAGAAGCGCTGTGAGGACAGTGCTTGGGGTCAGCCCATTCTCCGGGCTCAGAGGCCACGCTCACCATGTCCCCTGTGGAAGCACAACTTGTTCCTGGCACGAGTCCGTTCCATGCAGGTTTGGGCCGCGTTGACTTTTGTGAGAGTCAGACC